ACAAGTATGATTACTACGTCCTCATGCCCCACCCCTGTCTCAGACTATTCAACTCTTACTCCGAGTAGGATACAAGTCAAGTCTTATTTCTTCCATGAAGCTTTCCCTGACCACTCTAACCCACGTGGGTGTCTTTCTTCTCTGAACACCTAGACACTTAACTGTTATAATGGAATGTAGCACCTGATTATACCTTGTACAAAAGTTTAATTTTAATGTATGTAAATTTTAGCATAAAACAATACAAAAAATACTACCAGCTTCTATTGATTGGAAACCTATAGTGCTAAATGCTTTACACATATTTTATTTCATCTTGTTAACAGGCCTTTAAAGTATGTATTATAATCTCTATTTTACCTATGTAGGCTTAGAGAGATGATGTAACTCGCTCAGGTCAAACAGGCAGTAAGTGGAAGAACTCAAACTTGAAACCAGGTCCATTACTCCAGTCTACACAGGTAGGGACTTTGTTGGAGGATGTAGGGTCATATGAGGTACTTTGGCCTGATTGGGTTATTGGAATTCATCACAACAAACCTAAGCCTGTCTGAGAAAACTACTTTGTAACAACTACAGCTTAGTGGGGTAAAAGATTATGATTCAATTTAAATTACAAGAGTATTTCATTTATAGTGAAAGACCATTCCAAGGTTCTTCCATCATAGACCAAACATATTACTTTCTTAAAGACCAGTTGCTCCCCCTAGTGAAAATGGATGGGAATACCATACCTGTTAAGTATTTAAAGGAGAGATTCTCAGCAGGAGCTGTGGCTTCCTTAGGGCACTCAGGAATTTGTGCAGCTGTGTTTTGGTTATTACAAAGAATAGGGGTAGTCACTAGCTTTCATTAGGTGGGAGCAGGAATGCTAGACATTGAGCAGGAAATCCTCATCAACAAAAAACTGCCCCACTTCTGAGAGGGAAAAGCCATTTATATTTATTTATCTGAGCCTGGAATTTAACATCATTTTACATATAAAAACAAAATATGTTTCCACTGTTTTACTATGCAATTGATTTTCTAGGAAGAAAACTATGGCATTTCATCTAATTTAAGACGTCATCAGTTGTAAAACATAAACATTATTTAAATATCACCAAGAAAGACAGAAAAAAAGAAGAAAAAACATTGCCAAACTATGACACAATGCATTCTTACATATAATTTTTATTTTATCTTTATTTAAAGAGCTCTTTTAGACTTATTTAGACAAACATCAAATATCACATTTCGACATATATAAAAGGAAAAAGAAAAGCAAAATAAATTAAGGTATTTCTAAAATTTCTTCATATTCAGAAAATTTTCTGAAACAGTTGACTCAGAGTTGTCAATATCCATGTTTTGTGAAACAATATTATTCTCCCTGCTATCAAGTATTTTGATGACGCTATATTTCTTAAAACAGTGCTCAATTCTTGTGTCTAGGATTTTCTTCAAAGCCACTGACACCAATTATGCAAGTTTTGATGCTGGCACTTTTTTGAGCCTTTCAAAGATATTGATGGAAAGTTTTCAGACAAAAACTAGTGGTTATATCCCTTATTCAAGATGGTCTTTAAATAGTTTGTCCAGAAATGAAATCAGTAACAATAACCAAGTTTGCACACACTCAGGCAATGACAATATCAACGACGTCATGACTGACACCTGGCTGACAGTGTTTAAAGGACGCCTCTTGATTTCAGAAATGTGAAAATGTACTTCTTACACTAGAAGAAATACAGAGCCGTGGCCATTAAGGGGAAATTTCCTTTTTCTTTTCTAGAACTTAACCAAGATTTGGTCATCAGCAAGAGCAATGTTACTCAGGGTATTTGAGCCACAAGTAAAACCGACCTGTATCAGTCTCCAGCCAATGGCGATTGTACCAACAGGTATAACTTTCCAACTACTTTGTTATTTCTTATAGTGTAGGCAAATTAATGCCTTTACATATTAAAAGACAGTATTATAAATTACTTTTATTTCTTTTTTATATCAGAGTCAAGGTTTTCCTCATTTTTTGTATATATTCAATCAAATATTCCATATCACAGCTTTTCCAAGAAGGAAGCATTCCTCCAAAGCATCTCAACACACCTCTGGGGAAATTACACTCACCAGAGTCCTGATGACATTTACATGCACCATCTATCACTGGAGTCTTTCCTAACATCATCAGTTAGAGAACTAATTAATTACACTTGTGGACATCACAGTGGTGACTTTGCCACATCTTCTAGGAACGGTCAAAGCCTGCCACTGTCTTCTGCATAAAAATAGAAGGCATATTAGAGTAATAAAAGCTTCCACTTTAGGCCAAATTAAATTATTCCAGTTCCAAGATAGAGGATGATTTCATGGCAATTAGAAAGAAGTAGACATTGTGGAAAATTCCATTATTCACTCTTATCTATACAGAAGTAATTTCAGCCATACATCACAGGATCTATATCCATTTTTTGCGGAGAGAAATGAAGTAAGGCCTGGAATCATTCCCTTGGCTTGTTCAGAAAGGAGACAATTGGAAACACAGTCTTGGTAGTTGGAGGCTTTGCTATGTAAACTCACCTAAGTATGTAGGTCCTTTCAGAGTTTGTCATACACTGTGACGACACAAATGTAAATTATTTGTAAAACAAAATTGTCTTCCCTGTAGTTTTCATATGCTTTCAGAGGCTTTGATGCATACATAGAAATTCATTCTGACTATGACTTCGTTACTGCAGACAGTGGACAGTTCTCTGGTTTGCTGGTATCAGATAGGGAGGAGAGCAGGGTGACGACAACCTGTGTGCCCCTTACTTCTGCAAGCACGAAGTTGCTGCCAGGAGAAACTGTATTCTATTAATTTGTTCCTTTATTTGACATTCTAATAAGCTATGCAACACTGTGCAAGGCAGTGTGCGAGGCACTAGGTAAGGAAGGGTAAACAAAACCATGACCGTGTCCTCCTAGAGTTCAGTCTTCTCAGATACATTTTGTGGTAGGTTTGGCTTTCATTTCGTCTTTCTGTGTATTGCCAAAGTATATTTCTGGTCTCGATAACCAAAAAGAGACTCAAGATATGATAAATCACAGCTGTTGGGCAGTACCTCGGAGGAAGCAATGGACAAGTTGAAGGGGTTGTTGCCAGGAAAAACCTGAGGCACATAGATGCAACCAAACCTCAACCCAAGGATTATTCTTTTCTATCGCTTCTGTAACAAATTACCACAAATTTAATAGGTTAAAACTAAACAAATTAGGGGCTGCCCCGGTGGCATATCGGTTAAGTTCTCATGCTCCACTTTGGCGGCCCAGGGTTCACAGGTTCGGATCCCAGACACAGACCGATGCACCACTTGTCAAGCCATGCTGTGGCAGCGTACCATATAAAGTACAGAAAGATGGGCATGGATGTTAGTGCAGGGCCGGTCTTCCTCACACATACACACAAAAAAATGTTAAAAAAAAAAAAAAAAACCAGGCCGGCCCCATGGCTTAGCGGTTGGGTGCGCGCGCTCCACTACTGGCGACCCAGGTTCGGATCCTGGGCGCGCACCGACGCACCGTTTCTCCGGCCATGCTGTGGCTGGGTCCCACATGCAGCAACTAGAAGTCTGTGCAACTATGACATACAACTATCTCCTGGGGCTTTGAGGGGAAAAAAAAGAAGGAGGAGGATTGGCAATAGATGTTAGCTCAGAGCCGGTCTTCCCCAGCAAAAAGAGGAGGATTAGCATGGATGTTAGCTCAGGGCTGATCTTCCTCACAAAAAAAAAAAAAAAAACGTACAGAAATTATCTTACAGTTCTGAAGGTTAGACATCACGAAATCAAGGTGTTGGCAGGGCTGCATTCCTTTGGAGGCTCTACATGGGAATCTATTTCTTTACCTTTCCAGCTTCTAGAGGCTGCCTTTTATTCCTTAGATCCTGGTTCCTTCCTCCATCTTCAAAGCCAGCAGTGCAGCATTTTCAATTCTCTCTTCTTCTCCCTCTTTCTCACCTCTACTTTGGTCACCACATCTTCTCAGACTGACACGCCTGCCTACTTCTTATAAAAACCATGGTAATTATATAGAGTCCACCTGGATAATCCAGGATAATCTTCCCATCTCCAGATCCTTAACCTATAACCATATTTGCAAGGTCTCCCTTTTGCCATGTAAGATCACATAGTCACAGGTTCTGAAGATTACCACGTGAACATCTTTGGGGGGCATTATTCAGCCTACCATACAAAACAAAGCACAGAGAAAAAAATGTTTGCCTCCTTTACACCTTGAGTCAACTCACTGCAGGTTGGCATTCTGCAAGTTTGTTCTCTACTTCAAGACCATCTTGGTTATCCACTATAACTGGCTTTTTTCATAAAAATGTGGGAGGTGGCCCCCCACTGGTATTTCTCTGAAGCCTGTAACTCTCTAACACCAGTTTTCCTCATAAGTCAACAAACTAAAACAACCAGACACTGACATCCCTTTTAAAAGAACTCTATGAGCTGACTGACACGAATAGATTAGAGCCAACCTTTCCTACCTCCTTGTAGAACTAAATTCGTTAATAGATTAATCATTTATGTGGCTGGAAATAGCTTTTCTATTTCCTGCAGTTTAGGGCCATGGAGCAAGATTTAGCAAACCGATCCTGGCCTAATTCCCGCACACGTCATGTAACACAAGCTCCTCTTCCATGCGGATTATAAATTTAGGACTAGCAAGGAATAAGATGCATCACTTTAGTGGTAAAAAGCCGCTGAGTAAGCTTTTTCTTCCAGTAATGTTAGTGGCTAGAATTGATATTTTCATGTCACTTCTACTTGAGAAAAGGGAAACAATTTGCTATTCATCTTAGTTAAAAAATAAAGAGATTTTTGCTCCTGGCCATTATGGAGTAACAGGGAATAGATTTACCTTCTTGCTTAAAAAAATACTGAAAACCAGAAAAACATGTTTTCAGACAACGACAGCAGGCAGTGTAGTAGTGATCCCTACAATCACCCAGTTTACATGCTAGAGGCAGTTTCCAGATGCATCGCAGAGAGGGTCCTCACTGCCTTCACCGTCTGAGTCCGATCTACATTTATTTACCTAAGTCAAACGATCCCTCCACCCGCTTAAATTCAAGTAAAACTAGGACAACACAGTCGCGCGGCAGGCAACGCCGCACCCAACCCCGAAACAGCGAATCCTCGCGTTACGGTGAGATCTACAGCCCTGACGTCACCCTCACGGAGACGCTCGCGAGACTGGAGAGTGGGTGGTGCGAGCGGTGGTTTGCGCTTCTGTGAGGAAAGCAGCCTCTAACGGACTGTTGGTCTGGCTGTAAGCGGCCAGGACGGGGCGGAGAGGACGCCTCTCCACCACGCCCGCAGCCTCTCTGCTGCCGACCGTGCCTCAGGAGACCCGGACCCACAGCTGAGCCCGAAGCTCCGTGAGGAGACCGAGGCGTCGCAGGTGATGGCGGAGACGGTGGAGCGGAGCTTGGAGGCCGTCGCGCTCCCACCGCCCCAGCTCGCACAGGAGGGGGGAGCGCCCCACGACCCCGCGGGCTGTGGCCATGCCCCCAAGATCCGAGGCGGTGCGGATCGCGGTTGCGTAGCGACCACAGCGGGGCAAGAAGAGGCTCCGCCTCCCACGGAGGGCCTGGAAGCGGCGTCTGCGTCCGTGGCAACGGACAGCAGCCTGGAAAACGGCTGTCAGCGTCGCGAGTCGGGCGGGGAGAAGGCTCTAGAAGCCTGTGGCGCAGAGAAGTCCGGGTCTGAGGTGATGGCGGAGGCGAGGGCCGAGGAAGCGAAGACCGAAAAGTGCCCCGTCTTCTCGGGAGCAGGGGATGAGGAGGTGGTGCAGAAGGGAGGAGCGGAGGAGGAGGACGGAGGGAGGCAGGCGATGGAGGTCGAGGAGAGGCCAGTAGGTGAAGAAACGGAAATGGTGGAGGAAACCAGAGCGGCGGAGGAGGTGCGGGGGGAGGCAGGGCCCCCGCCCCTGGGCGTGGGTCTCCGCATGAACCCCCTGGAGGCCATCCAGCTGGAACTGGACACGGTGAATGCGCAGGCTGACAGGGCCTTTCAGCAGCTGGAGCAGAAGTTTGGACGCATGCGTCGACACTACCTGGAGCGCAGGAACTACATCATTCAGAATATCCCGGGCTTCTGGGTCACAGCCTTTCGGAACCACCCCCAGTTGTCCCCCCTGATTAGGGGCCGGGATGCGGAGATGTTAAGATACGTAACCAATTTGGAGGTGAAGGAGCTCAGACACCCTAGGACTGGCTGCAAGTTCAAGTTCTTCTTTCGAAGAAACCCCTACTTCCTAAACAAGCTGATTGTCAAGGAATATGAGGTCAGAGCCTCTGGCCGGGTGGTGTCTCTTTCCACTCCAATCATATGGCGCCAGGGCCGTGAACCCCAGTCCTTCATTCGCAGGAACCAAGACGTCGTGTGCAGTTTCTTCACCTGGTTTTCAGACCACAGCCTTCCGGAGTCTGACAGGATTGCTGAGATTATCAAAGAGGACCTGTGGCCAAATCCACTGCAGTACTACCTGTTGCGGGAAGGAGCGCGCAGACCCAGACGTCGCCCGATAAGAGAGCCAGTGGAGATCCCCAGGCCCTTTGGGTTCCAGTCTGGTTGAACTTTGCCCTTGGGAATGCTCCCGCACAAGGTCCCCTCCCACCTCTTGCTGGACCTGTGCTTGGGCAACAGAAATGAGTATGCCTTTTTTTTTTTTTTTCCTGACATTTCTTCACATTTTTTCCTCTGGACGTTCAGTTCTTTCAGCCTCAAGATTGGACCTTCATGGCCATGCTCCTCCACTTCCACATGGCCTTCATGCTGTTCTGTGCTACTGTCACATGCTGCATGGCCATGATTCCCACCAATCCTAAGCCAACCAAATGATGCTGTAGATTGCATGCCTTTGTCTGCACTGCTTGGATCCTGTTTGCTGTCAGGGCCTCTGGTTTGGCTCTTACCACCTGGAATTCTAGCTTTGTCTGGGAGCCCATTCTGCCCACTTTGCAGTGCAGGCATATAGCCTCTGGACAGTTGTGGGGCATTAATGATATCAAGGGAGAGCAGCAGTGGGCGATTTGGTCTTTGTGATTTACGGGACTCTCTTGCTCCTCTTGCACTGTGGTCACCTCCTGGTTTTGCCTGCTGCTACCTACTGGATGAACAGCTTCCAGACCATTGTCAGCCCCACTGTCTGGTTTCTGGTAAACAAGAAGCTCCAGAACTGGTGGTGGACTCAGGTTTCCTGCTAGCACATAAAAGACCTCTCCTCTATTCCTTACCCCCTCTTCCTTCCACCCCCGTCATCCAGGAACCCTACTAACTGTTAGGCAGGTGGTTGAGGTGACAAGTTAGATCTTGTCTTCATGGCAAGAGTAAGGATGGTGTCCATTCCAAGTACCAGGCTTCTCAGCCTCAACGAGTGAATTTACACAAAACCTAGGTAACTCTTTGTGACTCCATTCCTCATCCTGAACATGATTAAGTGCCAGGGTGGCAGTACACTTTGTCTCTCTCCTGTCTCTTAAAAAAAAAAGTGATAGCTCAGAAATATGTGCAAAAGCAGACATTTTAGTTTAATTTGGCTCTTTTCATTATTTCCAGGGACATAAAATAGACTGCCAGAGCTCTTGTTTCTGTCTGTTCTCTTCCCTACCCTTTCCTCCACCCACTTGAATAACACCTAGAGGATTTAAAGGGAGGCAGATCTAGATGGAATGAAAAGTGATATCTAGTTCATAGTGGATGGAAGAACTAAAGAGATTGTTATGGATTCTCTAAGCAAGGGGAAACAGAACTATAGACCACAGGCAAAAATGAGCCAGGTAAAAATTGGGCCTAAATTTAAGACTGGCTGACAGAGAGCCTTCAAGGAAGGGGTTATTTCTCTGTCAGTGGTGATGGGAGGAGAAATACTTGAACTCAGGATTTCTATTGGAGAATCAAAGGGAGTTGGAGTGTTAAATACGTTGCCTAGAGAAGAGTTCTTTCAAGAAACACAAACAATGCAACTTTGGGTGCTTTCTCTTTTGTTTTCATTTGATTTAATTTATGCAGAAGATTAATACTGTGCCCTTTATTTCACTAGTATTTAGTAAAAGCCTGTTATTTTCTGTTTCTGCTTACTGGGAAAATTGAGCTGTACAGGCTTTATTTTGCTTTCATTTGGGAACATTTGAAAAAATAGCAAGCTTGCTTTCCTGTATGATATAAAGACTTAAATGAATATTCATAATGCTTTTCACCTGTTCTTGCTTCTGTTAAAACTATATCCTTAGAAATATAATTTGAATAACTTGGTCTTGTCAGATTCTGAAGACTGTGGAAATTGTTGTCTTGATAGAAAAATAACCTACAAAAAATGTGACTTTAATTGTCTTACTTGATAATTTGCCCCGGTAACAACTTAGTAATTGATGTGTCTCTTTTCCTAAATAGCATTAATGCTTGTGAGATTGCTCTGTCAAATTGAAAGCGTACCATTCACATATTTTTGTCTTTCCTTATATGCATGATAGTAAAATAAAAGCATGTTACTCGGTTAGATTTCTTTTTTTTCACTGCCCATAAACATGCTTCAAGAAATTGTTCAATATAACAACAGATTATGGAATTATTAAAGTTCTTAAATGGATACAACAGGCATTATTCCAAAAGTAAGAAAATATGGCACACTGCTGTACCTTCCAAGGTCAGGAGGGTTGTTGTTGCTGTTGTTTTGCTTTAAAATGTTAACAATTGCAGCTGCTTACTCATGACGTCACTTTCTTCATACAGCTTGTGCAGCACCACCTCCCCTTCACGTCCTTAAAGCCTCCATTTCTACCTCTTTAAATGATATTCTCAGGTCATTCAAGCTCTTCTTTTTATTCACTTGTGCATTCAGAGGGTTCCTATAATAAGTGATAACCTCATCTATCCCCATGTTTTCTCAGGTGTAAAAACTTGTTCATTCTTCAGACCTCACCACCTTCTATCTATCTGTCAAATCCTTCAAGGCCTTTCATAGATAACTCTTCTGCCTTATAGTTTTTCTCTTCTCCTTAGGGAAGAGGAAATGTTTATGACTTGGTGTATTTTGTGGGGACCTCTATTCTAGACAATAACACATAATTCATTATAGTGAATTCCACAAATATTTATTAAGGCACGCTCTCAGGCCCTGGGAAAACAAGTATAAGAAGATAAAGTCCGGGCCGACCCCGTGGCTTAGTGGTTAAGTGCGGCACGCTCCGCTACTGGCGGCCCAGGTTTGGACGGATCCCAGGCGCACACCGACGCACCGCTTCTCCGGCCATGCTGAGGGCGCGTCCCACATGCAGCAACTAGAAGGATGTGCAACTATGACATACAACTATCTACTGGGGCCTTAGGGGAAAAAAAGGAGGAGGGTTGGCAATAGATGTTAGCTCAGAGCCGGTCTTCCTCAGCAGAAAGAGGAGGATTAGCATGGATGTTAGCTCAGGGCTGATCTTCCTCACAAAAAAAGAAGATAAAGTCCTATATTAAAGAATTGGGGAAAGACTGATATGCAAACAAATGACACAGAGTGATACAGTAAAAAAAAAAATAACAAAGACGTATTTTCACAAGTTTTTCACTGTTTTCCTTCCTTTCTAGTTTGGAAGTTCTGTGAAAGTAGAGGTGGGGTGTCTTACGTCCCTCACTGCATCTAGCATAATGTTTTGCACAAAGTTGTCACGAGATAAATATTTATTGAATGACAAAATGAACAGCTCAAATGGAGAAAAAGAACAAAATAACCTAGTACCCAGAAAGACTTTTGATGAAGTAATGTAAAGAAGAAAACGGTTTTCAAGGCTTTTTGTAAAACTGATGTCCAAAAATTTGCAGAGCCTTTCTTAAAAGCAAATTTCTTATTTAAGTAATTAGAAAAGGTCCAAACACTGTATCATTTAACCTTTCACGTGCCACTTTAATAGATTATTATTTAACTTTGGATCAACTTTTATGTGCTTTGTTTTTGAATGTTTGAGGTGACTATTACACTGGAGATAGAAAGGGATTAGACTCTAGACATGTGCTGTCCAATACAGTAGCCACTAGCCACCAGTGGCTATTGAGCACTTGAAATGTGGCTAGTCCAAAATGAGATCTGCTGTAAGTATAAAATATACCCTGGCTTTCAAAGACTTGTATGTTAAAAAGAAGGTAAAATATCTCAATTTTTTGTATTGATTGCATATTGAAATAATATTTTTGATATGAGTTAAATAAAATATATTAATGGAATTAATTTCCCCTATTTATCCATTTTTTTTAATGTGGCTACTGGTAAATTTTAAATTACATAGGACAGCATGGTTCCAAACTTGATGAATATCTCAAAGTATATAAAATACCTGTAAAAATGAAGCATGTTATTACTTTCTCCCCAAGAAATTTTTTGTGACTTTAGGACAAGGGTTATCTAGCTAAAATTCAAGATGGGTAAAGTACAGCTAGAGCCCAATGGGTAAAAAGGGTAAAATGAAATGTCTTCAATCAACTTGTTCTCAAGTACCAAGATATACTTAGTACTTTGCAAAATGTACTGTGTAAAACTATGTTTCTGGATATAAGTAGGTTAGAGCTGGGTGCCAAATTGGCACTGATAGTTATATTGATTATTTAAAGAAATCTCTAACAACATTTAGGACATATAGTTTCATATTTTTCTCAAATGTTCTGTATCTTTTGGTTTACAGATGTACATGAACCTCAGAAAATAAATTTCAGTCATTAAATATACCACTTCATGTATGTTACATGGGCTCCAAATTTTAACAACAGGCCAGCAAAAGAAAAAAATGTGAATCGAGCATTGCATCAAGTCAATTCAATGCTTACCACTTGAGGAAGCATATTTTAGTTTTGAAAATTAGTATAGTCTTTGCTGCAAGAAAATTATTTATTTTATATTTGATACCATATTAAGGATTATATGGGATAGTAGTAAAGTAAAGTTTGTCCTTGCACTTGAGGAACTCACTGTCCCATTGAGGGGGTATCATTCCTTGAATACTTCCTCTTCAGCAAATCCACATAATTAAAACCACTCACACACACAAGAAAACTCAGGGGATTAATGCGGCCAAGAGGAGTTATCAGAGATGATCAGGACCCTCCTCTCAGCCAAATTCCCCTCCCTCTGTTAGTTGAAGATGTAGACTGTATAGAAGTGACAGATAGAAGCTTTATCCATTCATTAGTGTGGGAGGTGTTTGACTTGTGAGCAGTACTTTCTCCAGGTGTGCTTGAAGTACTTTGTTTCAGCTCTGAAGGGCCTCTGCTTCATCAGTGGACCACATCCTCAAGAAATGTGTGCTGAAACCAAGGCCTCAATAAGACCTATATTTATAGAATTTTGTAGAGGAGTACATGAATGTCAAATAAGTTTAAGTTTCCAGATATGTAGTCAATTTGGGGCAATGTTGGGTCTATCTAGAACTGTATGCAATAACCCACTATCACTGATAACTATTCTCAATAATAGGTGTTTCCTACTTAACTCCTATAGTTTCCAATTATAGAACAATCTTTTAAATATGTATTTTTATTACCTTGATGGAAATTGATCAAGATTATTAGGCTTTTAATTGTGCACTTTTGTAGTTTAAATGCTTTTTTCTATTTTTGATGACTGATAAAAATACGCTACATAACATCATTTTTAAAATATTTCTCCAACTTATTTTAAAAAATTTCAAACCCACAAAAGTTGAAATAGTAATATTAAAATAGTAATACTGCCTTCCAAAAAAAAAACAAAGAGTGATCAGTAAAAGTAAACGCAAGTCACTAATAAGTCATTTCCTTGTTTTACAAGGGAATTTGAAAGACAAAGTACATCTGCTATTATGGATTGTATCTAGGAGGAACTGGCACACTTTTCTATTCCCTCAGCCTGGAGGAGCCATCTTTCCCTAAAGAGGTGCCAAGTGTGTTTGCCAATGCCCTAGGACAAAGTTAAAAATAATATATATCCACACACACTAAATAATAGGTGGATCCACAGTTGATGGAAAGATCATATTCTAAAGATGCTGTCACTCTGAAAGGAAGTTTCCTGGGAGTGAGAACTTCAACAATGACCTGGCTACAGACCAGCTTTGCAAATGACATGAAACTAGGGGGTAAAATTACTCATTAGAAATAATGATCCTCCAAATGGAAATAGGTTAAAAGAATAGACTGAACAGAATAGAAATTAATAGAGATATTTGTAAAGTGTTGGACACAAACTTCAATAAAGTGTAACATGGAGAAGCCTAATTCAGTAGCACATTAATACTTTAAAACTTAAGGTTTGGCAAATTATAATCTTATTAGAAGTGAAAGGGTAATACTGCTGCCCCAAAAGCTAATATTCTCCCAGGGTCCATTTAAAGAAGTATACTATTTATAATAAAGGCAGTAAGAATACCATTCTATTCTGTTATTTGGATGTTATTTTGTTCAGCTCTGGGCACCAGACTTTAGGAAGAACACTGGCATAATGAATCTTGTTTAATTAGCATGGAGAACGGATGAGGAACATTGAAGGAATTGATATATAGCCAGGCTGGTAAGGGGTGAGGGGTTGAGGGGAAGGATATAATGATGATCTTCAAGTACTTAAAGAGCTCTTGTGGAATCAGGCTAATTCCATTCTGCAAGACTACAGGGGTCAAAATGTAGAGCAGATGTGCTGGGAGCCTACCCCATGCCAGGCCCTTTGCAATAGCTGGATGTTATAAAGGCAGTAGATTTCTGAGTAAATTTAACAAAACTGGGAAGGGGCTGGGTATTCCCTCACTTGAGTCCAAGGAAAGGTTATCCATATTTCCAAATCTGTCTGCACCGTAGGGTCTAATTTAATTGGTTTGGGGTAGAGCCTAAGCTCAGGATTTTTGCAAAGCTCCCCAGCTATTTAAAATGGGCACTACTAATGTGAACAAGAAAATGCAAACGGATTCAAACTGGATATGTATACTGGCTAGAAACCAAGTGGAGAATGCACTCATGTTCCGATACTAAACTGTCCTGAACTCTGGAAGCAGACTTTGAAGCTTGAAGAAATGAAAACTTAGAAATGAAGTCACTATCTCAGAAGACATTCACAGGCTTATGTGTAGGAATCAAGCTTTCAGTTGCTGTGGCTGATACTGCTTCAGTCTTTAGGGATGTCTTTCACTTTTGAACTGCTATACACTTACAGTTTCATAATAGAATTTGACATTGATTTCATACTGTCTGCACTATCTATTTAATGTAGGTGAATCTTAGCATAAAAATAATAAAAACTACCAAGTCAGCTTTTATTTGTTGAAAGTCTATTGGGACAAACACTTTTTACATATCTTATTTCATCTTCTCAACAGTCCTATAAATTAAATTTTCTTATATTCATTTTATATATGAGGAAATTGTGGCTGAGAGAAGTCAAGTGACCTGCTCAAATTGAACAGCTAATAAGTGGCACAATTGAGACTTGAAGCCAGATTTGTCTGATTCCAATGTATGTGTCTTTACCCAGTGTGTTAGTCAGGGGTCTCCAGAGAAATAGAGCCAATAGGAAGAGATTTATTATGAGGAATCAGCTTGGGTGATTATGGAGGCTGAGAAGTCCCATGATCTGCTGTCTTTAAGTTGGAGACCCAGGAAAGTTGGTGATGGTACAATTCCAGTCTGAGTCCCAAGGCCTGAGAAGAAGGGGAGCTGATAGTGCAAATACCAGTCCAAGGGCAGGAGAAGACCCATGTCCCAGCACAAGTACTCAGGCAGGATGCAAAAGGGGCAAATTCCTCTTTCCTCCACCTTTTTGTTCTATTCAAGCCCTCATGGATTGGATGATGCCCACTCACATTGAGGAGGGCAATCTACTTTCCTGAGTACACCAATTCAAAAGCTAATTCCAAAAACACCCTCACAGGCATACCTAGAAATAATATTTAATCTGGGCACCCTTTGGCTCAAATTGACATATAACATTAACCATCACACCCAGCATACAAAGATATGAGGTCATTCAGGTCAGGGAACTTGTTTCTGATTTCCTTTATGATTGGGGAAAGTAAGGCTATATGACATTTTCTTGGCTATTTCATTATCACAGGGAGCCATCATAAGCAAACAAGCTTGTCTGAGAAAATTTTAATTGTGTAACAATGATAGCCTAAATATAAAAGATTGTGATTCAATTTTAATAATATAGAGAGCATCAAACATTTGTTGAAATGGCAGAACTACAGCAGAACTCATGCCATAGTTCTTCTAATGAATGTATGGTCTATAAAATTGCATAAACATTCTCTTCAGAGCACTTTAAACTTGACCACCAAAAGCAAACTAGAGTCAGATTATCTTCTTCAAGACCACTTCCTCCCTCTAGTGACCAGAAATGGGAATACCATATTCACAAGCATTTGAAAAACTGATTCTCAACGTGTATGTGTACCTCCCTCTAGAGAGTGTTTGGGAAATTTGCCAGAGTTATTTTGGTTATTACAATGAATGTGGGTGCTCTTGGCATTCCTTAGGGGCATTAGGAATGCTAGACATCCGGCAATGTGAGGGACAATGCCCCACATAAAACGATTATCCAGCGCTAAACATTCATGCAGATGAAAAATCTATTAGTATTAAAGCCTAGAACCCAGCACTATTTTACATATGAAAACAAAGGTTTTTTGCACTTTTTTTATACACTGCATTTTTGAAAGAAACTTCTTATTTCATCTACTCCAAATCACTGATTGCAAGATACATCATTACCTAACACTAAAAATGAAAACAATGTCAATTAAACTCCGACACAAAGCTTTCTAATATGCAGAAATTTTATTTATCAACAACACAGTGAAAAGGCAACCTATGGAATGGGAGAAAATATGTGCAAACCATATATCTGAAAAGAGGTTAATCTCCAAAATATCTAAGGAACTACTGATTCTATAGGCATAGCCGTCTAACTACTTTATCGTGTCATTTAGTGTAGGCATGCCCAAGCATTTACAAATTCGAATAGATATTTTAAGAATTATTTTATTTTTATTTCTCCTTAAATTACCACTAAGAAGTTATACTGATTTTTTTTTTAATTGTGCATGATGGTATACTATTTTGAATTTCAAGAAAGAAAAAAAAGAAGTCATAAAACATTTATTATAAGAAGGAATGTTATATCTGATGGATTGAGAACTGTTGACTTAAGGCATTAAAGCGAGGGTCATGAATTCTTGTTTCTCCCTTTAGTAACTGGGCACTGCCCCAACAACTGTCACTATCTTTGTGGCTGGGGAGAGGGGAATAGGATGAAGAGGGGAATAGAGGAAAGAGAAAATTTAACATTAAATTGGGGTGGGTGGTCATACGGCCTTATTTCTAAGAAAGCACCTTCTCATTTTATATGTTGTGTAGGGTTGTAGAATCATATAATAAAGGAGTGCACAGGTTCTTGAGTCAGATTAAAACTGGGTTCAGATTGAGGCTCCTTCACTGCTGTGTGACCTTGGATAAGCGACTCAATTTCTCTTTGCTGCAGTTCCTTCTGAGGTAAAGTAAAATGGAGGTCATAATATTATCACCTCATAGGGTTGTGAGGATTAAATGAGATTACACATTTAAGTGTGCAGGTGTCTAGTGTATAGAAGACACTAAATAAATGTAAGCTATAATGAATATATAACCAGAAACCATATCATTCTGAAAAACAAACTTGCTATTCAAAAGAGTAACAATAGGTGATATTTCATAAATTTTTCAGTATTTACTGTACACTTTAGTAAAGTCACTCCTATTTGACTATATTAATTTATGTTTGAACTTCTGTTAAACTCCTTGTCCTGTAGCAAATGAAAATTACCTCTTAGATTTTCATGGCATTTTCTATGGATATTTTTCCATAGAACCATAACTTATTGATGTATATTTTTCTGTGTAGTGAGGTTTATTGCCAACTGCCAACAGAACAGGCTCTGTTGTATACAAAAAAATTCTATACTCCAATATGTAAAAAACATAAAATACGATTCATAGCTATAAAACATTTATCCACCCAACTCAAAATGAATACTTATACTACTCAAACTCATATTATTCATTTCAGTAAAACTTTTTAAAATTGTCATTTAAATCAAATCATCAGGTTTCACTGAAATCTTCTATGAAAGAGTCACTGGGCTGGCTATACTACAGTAGATGCTAAGGAAGAAGAAGCCACTATACAGCCATCCTTGTGTAGCTGGGATGAGGAGACTGATCTGCATGAAACAACCAAGCAAGTTAAAGAGAGAAGATAGATAAGTACTAAATTGGATGGCAAGGATCATAAGAGCCACAGAAATTCAGAGGACTATCAGAACGGTAAGGTGGTTAAGGAAGGTTATACATAGAAGATGGGAGGAGGCAATTTGCCAATTAATGTATGTCCGACCATGAGTGAGTTAACTTCTCTGTGCTTCCTGGGTCCTTGCTTATGAAATTAATGCATTTAAAATGCCTAGTGCAATCTACATGATGTAGGCTTGAATGGACTTTTAAAAAATGGGAAGGCTGTTATTAGTGGAAAATGATTCCATTTACAGGAATAATCAAAGCTAGAGACAGGGATGTTTCAAGCAGTGGAAATATAAATCTTTTAAAAATTTTGGTATACACAAGGGAAAAAAAGTTCACAGGTAGCAGCTTTATGTAATTTTCTAATTTTCTGTTGCAAATAGCAAACTCTTTTTTTCCTGTATGGCAAAGTAACTTTCATTCAGCATTTGCTTCTTCTCTGCATCTTGACTCAGGTTAGAATCTAAGAGAATTCATCCTTCAACAGTGCGAAGATTCTTTAGAAAAAGAAACAAGGCAGAATAGTGTCAAAGAACAACTCCAAGTCACAAAATCACTTAATTATAGCACACTGTTTACTTTTTTACAAGGAGGATAAATCAATAGATTGATTTCATCCCACAAAGGCAAAAAACAGGATTTATTAAAAGAAAGAGGAAAGAGAAGAGAGAAAAAATGAATTCTGGGAAGAGTGAATCTTGTTTGCACAATTTTTTATGGAATAACTGATTAGCTGGCAGCAGTCAATCTGGACAGTCAGTCCTTGAGTACGCTGACTAGGGGTACAAAAATATCTTAATTCTTTATGAATTCTCTGGAAAACCTTTGTGAACTAAACTATAAAGCTGTATGACAGATTGTTTCTCTGTAACGCCTGCCAGAGTCTTTCCATCAACACCTCATTCTTAGTTGGACCAGGTCTGCACATGTTCCCTCACTAGAAGTCTCAGTATACCTGATGCTTTTCTGTAAATCGTTTTTCCCTAAATCCTTACTTCTCACTGGATCCTCTTCTGAGCCCTTATTTGAAAGTGATCATAATCTGGGGGGCTCTGTACTGGAGTTTCTATTACAAAGAGTTATAATCAATCATTTTCTAATATGAATTTAAGACATTAGACAAAAACACACAAAATTTAAGTTTTCCCTCGTTCTTGCATTTTTGTAAGGATTAACACTAGTACTTTCACACCACAACAAACAGATAATAGTGACATCACTATCAAATGAATCGTATGAGTTGACTGACTTGAATAGAAAATAACTTTTTCTTACTTTTTAAGTAAATATTTTAATACTAACATTTTAAATGTTACTTAAAATATTTTAATTAAGACAATTAATAGCTCCAGTGCCTGCAAACAGTTGACTATTGCTTCTGCCCTGCAGTGAATTATCACAGAAGCAAATTTTGGCAAATATTTGCTGGCTTCATGCCCACAGGCATTATGAAGCAGGAACTCTTTTTAGATTAAGATTATAACCTGAGGTTAGGCAATATATAATGTGCATAATTTTAGAAATTAAAATCTCCTGAGATTACATATCTTCCAGTAATGCTTAAAGGCTAAATTTGCGCACTGCCGCGTGTGTGGGTCACCTCTGAGTAAGGAAAATACACTTTGCTATTTATATCATTTAAAAGTGACGAAGAAATATTGTCCAACTGCTTCGTAGGTGTTGGCCAAAGTATATAAACTTTAAAATCTCCACGGCAAATTGAAATAACCCTTTATTATGCCTTGCTAGAATGAGAGACGTTTCCCTCTCAGCTGCGCCTAATTTTTTAAATCATCACACAGCAACTTTTTACCTTTCTTAAAAATCAAACTCTGCTCATCTCTATTCTTTTGGTAACACCCATGAATCCGTACATTAAAGAAAAACGGCATGTGAATTGTTGAATCCTCTTATAAATGGAAGCCCTATGAGCTGACTTGAATAGACAATAGCTAACCTCTCCTACTTTTTAAGTAAATATTTTAAGAGACAATAGCTTAGATGCCTTAGAAATTCTTTCAGAGACTTAGAAATCCATATTAACACCGTTCTCACACGCTTGGGTTTGCTCTGCAAACATCAGTAAGCCAAACCTTTTCCAGGCTACGAAATCCACAGCATTCTGGAACACGAAGACAAAGGAATACCCTTCACTGACCGGTGTAATCACAGGGCGCAGCGAGTTCTCGCGTGACGTTAAGACGCTACAGCCCTGACGTCACCGGTTACCATGGCAGCATCCTCCAGAGTGGAAAAGAGGGGTGGCGCGAGGGGCGGAGCGCGGCTTCTGCGGAGGACAAGGGACGCTTTCCTCCTGCAGGTCTGACTTCTCCAAAATGAGCAGCCTGGATGAGGGCGGCAACCTCCCTGTCGCTGAAACCTGCGGCCTCGCTACTCCGGACCATGCCCCGGGACATCGGGACCTGAACCAGTGCCAGGGCGAGGAAACCGAGGCGACACAGGTGATGGCGGACACAGGTGAGGGCGGCCTGGAGCCCACTGCGGAGGGAGGCGCACCCCGGGACCCCGTGGGTTATGGCCCCGCGCTCCGCATTCGAGTTGCCTGCAGTCGCGGCCGTGCAGCGACCAAAGCGGGCCAGAAACAGACCCCGCCTCCCACGGAGGATCTGGAAGCAGCCTCTGCCTCCGCCTCGGGGGCAACCGACAATAGCCAGGAAAATGGCTGTCAGCGTAGAGAGCCGCGCGGCCCTGCTGGGGAGAAAGCTCTAGAAGCCTGTGGCGCAGGGGAATTGGGGTCTCAGATGATGCCTGGGGCGAAGGCCAAGGAAATGACAAAAAAGTGCGTCGTTTCAGCGGCTGCGGAAAAGGAGGGAGTAGCGGAGGAAGTGGTGGAGGAAAAGAAGGTGATACAGAAGGAAAAAAAGGTGGTAGGAGGAGTGAAAGAGGAGACACGGGCCAGGGCCCCGAAGATCAATAACTGCATGGACTCGCTGGAGGCCATCGATCAGGAGCTGTCAAATGTAAATGCCCAGGCTGACAGGGCCTTCCTTCAGCTGGAGCGCAAGTTTGGCCGCATGCGAAGGCTCCATATGCAGCGCAGAAGTTTCATTATCCAAAATATCCCCGGTTTCTGGGTCACCGCCTTTCGGAACCACCCCCAGCTGTCACCAATGATCAGTGGCCAAGATGAAGACATGATGAGGTACATGATCAATTTGGAGGTGGAGGAGCTTAAACACCCCAGAGCAGGCTGCAAATTCAAGTTCATCTTTCAGAGCAACCCCTACTTCCGAAATGAGGGGCTGGTCAAGGAATATGAGCGCAGATCCTCTGGCCGGGTGGTATCTCTCGCCACCCCAATTCGCTGGCACCGGGGCCAAGACCCCCAGGCCCATATCCACAGGAACCGGGAAGGGAACACTATCCCCAGCTTCTTCAATTGGTTCTCAGACCACAGCCTCCTCGAATTCGACAGGATTGCCGAGATTATCAAAGCAGAACTGTGGCCCAATCCCCTGCAGTATTACCTGATGGGTGAAGGGCCCCGCAGAGGAATTCGAGACCCAGCAAGGCAGCCAGTGGAGACCCCCAGGTCTTTCAGGTTCCAGTCCGGCTGACTCCTGCCCATGGGAGAATCTTGCACACGAGTTTCCTTGCCACCTCCTGTTGGACCTGTGCTTAGCCAACAGCATGCAGTCTTCTATCTGCTTTCTCTTCACACTGCGTTATTTGGTTCTTTGGTTCTTCTAAATCTTCAACAATCACTGCTGGCAAGATTGTCGCTTGTATGCTTATTCTCTTCTTCCTCTGGGCCTGCATGCTGTTCTGCATCATGTTACATGTTCCAAGTGCCTGGCCTTCCACTGCCTCCATGCCAAGCACGTGATGCTGTAGATACGCGCTGCCTTCCTTGGCATGCCTTGGGCCCTGTCTGTGACCATGCTCTTCTCCCAGTTATTTAAGTGCTTATCGGCCACAAAGAAGCTTGATATATCTTTGCAAATAACTAGCTGGGCATCGTGCTTTATGCTGGCTGTCCTCCTGATACCAGTGTACTCTATGACAAGCTCTTTGAGTTTCACTGCTGCAAGATGAAGCTGATATAGGTGATGCCAGCCATCAATCCAAACTGGACATTCCAGGCTACCACTAACTGGTTCTCAGCTGTCTTCCTGGGCTGGTGCCATCCACCCTGCTGATTATCTGGCAGAATAAGCAGGTGGCTGGTGGGTGGCTATTAGGCATGAATGAGGTAACAGATGAAAGGTGTTCTGTGTTCTCACTTTGGTCTTATTATGCCTTTGGTCACTCTGCATTGTGACCAGGTACTGGTGAGTATGAAGGCCTGTGCTATGGCCCACCCAAACCTGCTCTCAGCCTTCTGGATAAGCTTTGCACAGGCACCATGCCTGCCTCCTTAGGAACTATCTGTGGACTTAAGTTCCTAGGCAGCACATAGGGACACCACCGCCCCCCCCCCCCGCCCCAAACCCAATGGCTGTTAGGCAGGTTGGGCAGTCATATGTGACAGTGCCCAAAACAAGGCTGGTATGGGGGTCCCTTCTAGCAGTTGGCCTTTCTGAGCCCTAGCCAACAAACCACCTAGGCACCTTTGTTGGGCATCCCCCTCCTAAGCCCTCCTGCATCCATTCTAAACATGACAAAGTCGCCAGTGTAGGGGTACCGGGGAAGAGGTATTTCTGATCTGTGGAGCCTGTTAGGCATCTGTCTCTGTCTGCCTCTCTCTGTCTTTGTCTCTTTCACCCTCTGCCTCCCTCCGTCCTTCCCCTGTTCTCTTTCCCTCCTCCCTCCCTCTGAAGCAGTTACAGCTCAGAAACAGAAAACAAAACTGGCAAAGCAGGCTTTTTGTTTAGTTTGCTCTGTCCTTGATTGTGTCCAGAGGGAGAAAGCTACTGTATGATAGACACCAGATCTCTTACTGCCCTCATACCTCCACCCCACTTCCTTTAGCATGGTCTAAACGTTTCAAAGGGAGATCTGTAGGTAATTGCTTAGTGATGGGAAGTGATTTTTTGGGGCCAACTTGGACAACCCCACCCTTTTTCCCTATCCATTCACCAAAACCTTCTGTGTGTTTCTTGAGCTTTAGTTTGAGAAGCTGGGAGGAGAGACAGAAGGGCCTCACAGTGATGGGTTCAAGACAGACCCAGAGCAGGTTTTGATCTAAAGCAACCAAAACTTAGTTTTACCCCACTTTTCTAAACATGGAAATTATTTTTTGGGCCTTGGACCACTTAGAAATAACCCAAGACAGCATTTTGAGGGTCAACCCTGTCCTTTGTACTATTCAGTTACCACCCTGATGTGCCAGGGGCTTCCACCCTACTGCCTGGCCTTGGCTCTCAGTCTTCAGCTTCCGCATATGCTTCCCTGCTTCTGTCCTAACAAATGAGGGAGCAGGCTGCAGTCTGCATTGTGGGAGATGCCAAGCCTCCCTCTTAGGAGGTAAGGAGATGTGTGGAGTCTGTCTGGATTTCCAGGACAAGTTCCAGTAGGTGGGACAGCAGTGCTGTCAGGGCTCTCCTATTTATGGAGATGTATGGTGGTTATGACTATCCGCCCTTATCCTTTCTCCTTTCTTTTTGAAGGCCTGAGCTCCCCGAGGGCAGCTCCACAGAGCAGTGTGTGTGTGTGTTGGGGGGGGGGGAGGGTGTGCTTTAGGCTGGGGAAACAGAAAGCCCAGAAACAAAAATGAGCTTGCTGTGGAGTGGGCTTGGAAAGGCAGACAGGAAAGACTGGAACCCTACAGGGTCTGGGGTGAGAGGGGAGACCCCTGAGGCTTTTCCCGGAAGAGGTGGGTTAACATTTCAAGAGGATGCTTGGAGGAGTTAGGTTTTCCTCCAGTTTTTCCTAACTCCTTGAATTCACCAGTAGATTTTTGCACACAAAAGTGCAAGTCTGGATGTTTTCTTTCTATTATATGTGGAAGATTAACGGTATATGTCCTTATTTCACTGTGTTTGAGTAAAATCCTTTTAATTCCTTTCTCCTTTTTTGCTTGCTGGCAAGATTGACATTTACAGGCCTGCTTTTTGCTTGTAATTGAGAATGTGTGCAAAAATATCAAACTTGTTTCCTGTGCAGTGTGAAGACTTCTGCGAACATTCAATAATATATCAGCTTGTTCTGGTCTCTCTTCATATATAGCTCTATTCTTAGAAATATAATTTGAATGTGATCTTTGAAATTTTGCAAATTGTTGCTGTCTCGTGAAAGAAATCTCAAAAACATAACTCTGTTGTCTTACTTGATATTTCTTGCTCTAGTAGTAATGTTGTTCTTGACATTTTATGTTCCCAACCAGTGTAAGTACTTGTAGAATTGTTCTGTAGAATTGCTCTGGCAGACTAAACAAGGATTGTTAGTGCTTTAGTCTTCTCCTGTGTGCGAAGGAAAAGTAAAATCTGTCACTCTGCTGTATTTCTTGTTTTGACCAAAAAATAAAAATAAAGTTCTGTGTTGTTTAGGCTAATAAAAGGTTGAGAAATCATTAAAGTTATCAAATTGTGACAGTAAGCATCATCCTGAAGCTTAAAAAAAGGAACAGCCACCAAACCTCCAAAATTTTTTGCTTGGATAATGGTAAATAAGCCCAACTAAAATTGCATACTCATGAACATAATTTTTAATTAAAGCACCATATATTGATTTTTGTCACTTATCTGTTTTCAGTGGAAAACTATTCATGCACCATCCTTTTCTGTTAACTATGTCCCCTGTTGGTCTCATTCTTAGTGAGCCTAAGATAGACTGTTGGAAGATTAATCATTGTGCATTCTGTAAGTGCTACTTAAATTCTTTTCCTACAACAGTGTGGTGCTTTTTTACAAAAAGTATGACTGAAATGTCTAGAAATAAATGATATCAGACATCACAACTTTAATTACCAGTATGTTCTGCTGTTCAGCAGCTATTACACGAAGGTTTGGGAGATAAATACGTCTGCATTCTCTGCGGTGGAGAGGGCTATGGATGCGGCAAGAGCTGTGAAACTGAATGACCAAGTATTTTTAACCATTTAACAAAAATTTGACATAATGGCCCAAAATTACTGATTTGAGGTAGAGATTGTTAACTATAGTTAGACTTGCTGACTCGTGGTGCAGTTCTCACTTGCAAGTTCTACTTGCTGAAGTATAATTTTTCTAGGCCTGGAAAACATTAAGTATTTAGAGAGCTAGGTTTTCTTGTGCAAGCTCTAGAACCATCGTAATCCCAAATTTCCCATACAATGTTCATTTTACCTTTTCAACTTAGTGATTGATTTCTGCATTGTCAACAACCTGTTTCAAGCATTCTCTCTTTTATCCTGTTCTGGACATAATCAGAAAATGTCATTTTTGTTGCCCTCGGTTTATTATCAGCTTTAGTCTAACCAATAGTATTCATTTTTCTAGTAAGCTGGTGCCACTCATTTGTTACAGATTATTACGGTTTCTGTTCTGCTTAGTCTAATAAAATTAGACTCCATTAGGCATTTTCTAGGTTTCACTTACCTACCAATCGGTTCACTGCTATAGCCCTGCTCCATTTCTTTGCATTGCCTTTTTGTCTTCCTCAATTCTAGACCCAAATTACTCTTTATGCAGACCTACAAACCAGTTGAGAGGTTCTCTTATCCTCTGTTCACCAAAGAAGTATTATCATTTGGGTCTGCTCAGGCCATATTGTCCTGTGAGTAGTAGTGACATCATCATTTCCCTGGTCCCCACATAACAGAATCTCCTTGGGCAACCTTTGCCATTTATGGGTGTTCAGCTCAAGCCAGACACCCCCCACAGAAGGCTTCTCTGACCTTCCTTACTCAGACCCCTTCTCCTCCCCATTACTCCTGCTGCTGCTTCTGCTTTATCTCCAGTTGACTCAAGTTTCCTTAAATCAGTTTTCATCATTAAAAACAAACCAAAGGGGCCGGCCCAGTGCGTAGCGGTTAAGTTCATGTGTTCCATTTCAGCAGCCCGGGGTTCACCGGTTTGGATCCTGGGCGTGGACCTACTCACCACTCATCAAGCCATGCTAAGGCAGTGTGCCACATAAAGGAATTAGAAGGACCTACAACTAGGATATGCAACTATGTACTGGGGCTTTGGGGAGAAAAAAGAAAAAGTGGAAGATTGGCAACAGATGTTAGCTCAGGACCAATCTTCCTCAAAAAAAAAAATGTAAATTTGTTTTTGTTTTTTTTTTTTATAAGATTGGCCCTGAGCTAACATCTGCCAATCCTCTTTTTTTTTTTTTTTTTTGCTGAGGAAGACTGGCTCTGGGCTAACATCCATGCCCATCTTCCTCTACTTTATATGGGATGCCGCCACAGCATGGCTCGACAAGTGGTGCGTCGGTGTGTGCCCCGGATCCAAACCGGTGAACCCCGGCCTGCCGCAGCAGAGCGTGCACACTTAACCGCTTCTGCCACCAGGCCAGCTGCTAAAATGTAAATTTCTAAAACAACAACAACAAAAAAAACAAAAAAATTACCTATATATTTTTGAGTTCCCTGCCCCACGGAGTCACAATTTGAGCTCTGGATATCTGCTTTTGCGTCAGATACACATTCTCTGGCTTGACAATCTCAAGAGATCTGTCAGGCACTTCCATGTTCTCACATTACCTTCATAATCTGGACACGACTTTTACTATCTCCATTTAAATAATTGAGAAAACAGGCTCAGAAAGTTGAAGTAAATTGCCTAAAATGCAAGTTACCGACTTAAATCTTTTGATTTCAAGCTAGGGTACCTTCCACCATAACACAGCCATCTGTACTAAATTTGGTATAAAACAAAACAAAAACACTATGTGAGTATTCAGGACTCAGTAGGTTATTCTTAACCTTCAAGAATGGTCTTTGAAAGGGGTACTTTTTAGCACTTATTTTAATACAGGATTCCATACAGTAACAGATTAAAACACTCCCAAATTTACATGTGTAATCTTGCTGTTGGCTGCATAAAGGAACGAAATTAGCAGCTTGTTCCTTTTATCAAAGGGAGTAAATGCACCAAAAGGACTTTAAATATTCTACTTATGAAATTTGCATGCTAAGAACTGTAAAGAAATGTTGACATCTCTATTGCATTTAGAGAACGAATATTTATTTTTTAATTGATTCATCTTGGTAATTGCTTTTAACAGGCACTTAGTAATTTATTCCTTCTCTTCTTTATTAAACTTTGTTAAACCTTATTAAGCTTTGATCTTTACCCAGAAATTACCAAGAAAGTAAAATTGTGTTTTTCTTTAGTCTGAGAACAGGGGTATGGTACAAGAACTTGACGGTCAAGCAGTCTATGTGCTGCTGTAGTTGTCATTCTAAGTAATGACCCATCTTCTCTATAGGCACAGATATCCCAGCTCCCACTAAGTTTACTTGGACCAGTTTTCATTCTCCCTTCTCCATTTTGGTTTCCTCAGCACCAGAGAGGGAAATTTACTAAGTATTCAAGTGGATCTTTGAATCTGAATATGAAGAAAGAGTAGACATGCTTATTGATGACTTTAGCATATGTGGCTTCCAAGAAGAGCAGACTTCATTATACACTTTAGCACTCCTGTGATTCTTGGGTCTCTATTTTACTCTTCCGGATAAGTACCATGTTATAAATATTTGTTTTAACATTTTTTACTGAATTATGTTACTTTAGAAAGGACAGAGCCTGAGTCTTCATTTCTAACCCCTCACATGTCTTAGCATGGTATGATTGGTAAGGTGAAGTGTGGTTTTAGACTGAGAATTTGTCCCAATCTAGATCCAATATTTTAAGACTTTTATGTGTCAGTCAACTAAGAGCGTGATTTTTAGGTCAGACTTGGGCTCATGTAGACTCTGTTCCTTAGTGCAACTTTGAGCAAGCATATTATTTAATCTCTGTAAATCTCAATTTCCTCATCTGTAAAATTTTAATAACTATACACACCTCATATGGTTGCTCCAGGGAGTAAATAAGGTACATGAAGTAGCCTGGTGAGGAATCAGCACTCGTTACCATTTTTTTTTTTTACCATTATTTCTGAGGATGATTCTAGAGACCAATAACAAGAGACACCTTTTTGAATTCACCCTATGTGGACTGGACCATGCCCAAGGATTTTCAAGGGCAGCAACTGGAGCACACTGGGTGAGTTAACCCTCGAATATATCCCAGTCTTGCACTAATCTGGAACCAACTCTTATGATAATCTTGAGCTCAAGAGTCTGAGAAAAGCTAAGGGAATGTTCCTGTAACATCACAAATTTAAAAAAAGCTATCCATGTGATTCTAACATACAGTCAAGGTTATTATATCCAAAGAGATAGTTTGAAATTTCATTTTATGCTGGTTTGTTATATAAAATAATCATATAGATTTGATTTTCATTCAAACCAGTTCACTAAAAGTATGTGTATACATATATGTGTGTGTATATATATATGTACTTATATATGTATACATATGCCTTAAATATATATATATTTAAGTTATTATTGGATATGAACATTGGTGGAGAAGTAATACTTGATTCAATTTAGAGTTTAACAAACTTAGAAGTAGTTGACTTTAGATTGCAATTCATGGTTCAGTTGAAGTTTCTGCTACCTCAATATTCCAAATATCAAAATCTGGCAAACTATTTGACCACTGTGCCATTCAGATCTTTCTTCTGCTGATGAGATCAACAGTGGCCAGCAAAGAAAATATCAGCTGTGCATTTATTTGTAGATATCTTTTAGATGATGAATGTTTGCCTGTATGCTAATATTTAACTGCCTATTCACACAGTTTTCCTGCTTTCTTATTTCATATAACTTTATTAAAGAGTATTCAGCTTTTCTTCTCTAATATCCTCTTTTTTACTCTTCATACCCAATTAGAAACACTGGTACTTTTTAGAAACAATGAAATAAAAAATTTAAAAGTCTAATGACGGTCCAACAAAAAAACAACATTCATTAGAAGCAGTGACTGACTCCGCTAGAAAGGCGAAAGGAAACTTGGAAATAAACTCTAACCTTTTTTGACAAGGTGGAAAAAACTGAGGTCAGATCAGGTGGTGACTTATTCAGATTCCTTAGGTAGGTACTGCTAAAAGTAGGACTAGAACTTCTGACTTGAATTTTTTTTCACTTTTCAGTGGCCAAAAAAGTGCAATTAACTGCTTATTTTGGGGTTCTCATTTTTCGTATTAACATTAGCAGTTTATAAGCACTTAAAGATGTATTATTATTTGTCATTGACAAAATAAACATGCATAAGGAAAAATAGCTTTATTTTTAAAAGAAATCAAATGTCTATTGAAAGTATACATGAGAAAGCATCTTTCATTTAGCTCTAAGCTTGACTGTGTATGCTTATCATATTCCAATGAGATTTTGGAAATCAATTTCAAATACATTACCACATACTTATTAGTAGATAGCAAACAAAGCTACTGACTTGGAGGAAAAAATTTCAGTAACTGTTTACCTACCCTGAGATACCTATCCTCACAATATCTTTGAGGTTATTTAGGGGCCAGCCCAGTGGCGTAGTGGTTAAGTGCACGCGCTCCGCTGCTGGCGGCCCGGGTTCGGATCCCGGGCGCGCACCGATGCACCGCTTGTCAGGCCATGCTGTGGCTGCGTCCCATATAAAGTGGAGGAAGATAGGCACAGATGTTAGCCCAGGGCCAGTCTTCCTCAGCAAAAAAGAGGAGGATTGGCATGGAGGTTAGCTCAGGGCTGATCTTCCTCACAAAAAAAAAAAAAAATTTAACAAAATATTTATCTTTCCATTGCATGCATCACTATGCTAAGTTCTCTGCTACAATCCAAATAAAATAATGACAGTGACCACTGTGCTTTCTGATACTGTCCATGATGGACAGAGTGAAATCACAGCATAAAGAGTAGCCAGAAATTTATATCATAAACATTATCTGGCTCCAAACACCTTGCAACAAATAGCTACTAATATGACTATACATATGTGCTATACATAGCACACAGAACACAATAATCCCAGCTTGTAATATAACTAGAAAACCTCTTAAAGCAGTTTTTCTCAGCCTTTTTTTTTGCATTATCACCCCCCTCCCAAGGAGAAAAATTAAATTTAACTCAAATTCAATTAATAAATTTAACTTTAAATTACATTTCTCCCTAATGCGAGAAATTAATACTAAGGAATAAGATTTTATTGGGTATGCTTGAGCTTTGGAAGGCCACAATCCATTGCATTATCTAAGATTTTTTTCACCCTAAGAACCAATTTTTGCCCCATTGAGAATAGATGCGTTATAGTGAATGAAAATGAATGAAACAGCCTTTAACATTATCAGGGGGGAAAAAACCCTAATGGGTAACACTGGAGGTTGAAATAGTTGGCTTCTCGTATCATCTCTGTCCCATACTGGCTGTGTGGTCTTAGAAGAAATCACGTCTCTTTATTTCCTCGTTTTTGGAAACACAAGAATAGCATAAATAACGGGATAGCTTGGAAAAATTGTTTAATGTCACTGGACCCAGTGTTCTTGGCTATAAATTGAAGGAACAGGTATAGATCAGTTGTTCTCAATTCTGGCTGCATTTTCCTGGGGCATATAAAAGATGTCAATGCTCATTTATATCTCCAGACCAGTTAAACCAATTTCTGGAGGTTATGGTCTAGTCAGTGGTTCTCTAACTTTAGTGTGAATCACACTAATATTAAACACAGATTGCTTGGGTCCCATTCCCAGAGTTTCTGATTCTGTAGGTCTGGGCTGGGGTCTGCAAATCTGCATTTCAATCAAGTTTTCAGGTGATGGCTATGGTAGTGGTTTGGGGATCACACTTTGAGAACCACTGTCTAGGCATATGTGTAAATGTGTGTGTGTATGTATATAAGTATATCTCCCCAGACGAATTCTAATCTCAGAACTATTGGTATAGAAGATATGAATAAGGTTCTCTTTAGTTCTAAGATACTGCGATTTTAATATTATGAGAGTTGTTGGGCATCAAGATGATCAATATGGAAAGGAGACCTATGGAAAAACATATCAACTTTTTGGTCAATTTTCATTAAGAATTTGTCCCTATAAAGCATTTTACAGTATTTTTTGAAAATTAACATTTTTACAGTACATTTGCTGCATATATGGTTCTTCACTGCATTTTTCAGTAAAGATAATTTATTTGGTTGTCCGTGTCTCATTATTTGATAATACCAATGGAGGGTTTGGATAGTAGCCAGCCGTTTTTGAACTGTTTGAAGAGAACCTGGTAAATTTGTAGTCCAGGGGTAATTCTGGAAGAAAAAAAAAAAAAAGATTTGATTATTCTGCAAATCTCAAAAGGTCTTTCATAAGAATAAACAAATCAAAATTTGATAGTCATTGATAATAAAACATTTTTTAGAGTTTTGTAATTTTAATATTTCTTTTGTCACCTGGATAGGTTGCACCCAGGATGAAGAGTGTAGATGTCTTTCCCTATAAAGTTTACAATCATATTTAAGTCAAATTACATTTAGAGCTATTACAAATCCTCTTCAGTTTACAAATTCAGCTATTACAAATCCTCTGAGTTTAATTTCAATACTCTGCCCAAAAGTTAACACATAAAATAGGAATGCTCATCTGATTTTTTTTTAATTAAAAAATCTCTCAGACCCTACTGAGAGGATCATGTAACTGGTAAATGAGAACTAATAATCTTCACAGCCCTTACTAATAAGAGTGTTACTAAGAATAATCTTTGAATGCTTAGCTGAGTAAGGATTCTACTATGCACGATGTGGTAACTTTCTCCGTATGATAAGTGTTACACACACACACACACACACGCCCCGACAAGGGGAATCGGGGGAGAGAACATAAAATACATACTTTACTGATGGTAGCACATTGTGACATCTTCATGTAAGTGTCTCAAAAGCTAGCCTTCAAATATTTTCTCCCAAAATTTCTTCAAGGAAACATTACCAGAAATATTATAATGGAAACATTATTTCACAAATTTCACAAGTAAAATATCATTTGGTAGTACTGAGTATTCTGAAAATGACACTTTACATTAAACGCCAGTGAGAATCATCAAGCCCCAAGCAGTTAATCCTTATGAGGAGAAAACTGGTGCTAGAGATTGGGAAGAAGGAATACTGTCTTTCTGATGCCACAGAAAGCTAAGATTTTTGTAAACAGGAAAACATCCAGTATTAGTGAATTTCATTGGTCTTCACTGCTCAGCTGGAGTGTATTTTGAGCTGTGCCTTAAAAAGGCATTGGAGAGTAACCTGAGTTTCTAAAATTATATATCTGAAGTCCTGGATTTCTGATAAGCCACCAAAATGATACAGGCTAAGAGTTAAGCCAGCCACCTCTTTCTCTGACTTTCCTTCCTAAAGCAAATGTTTAGGTCTCTGTGTAGCTATTATTTTAGGGTTCAAAATAATTACAGTATCAAAATGCTTATAAACCAACCACTATTGTAATGTACATGGCTAAGTGCAAACATCCATAAAAATGGCTTCTATGCATTTAAATTTCAATGAGATAAACAAGTTTAACAGAATACCCACGAATAAAGAAACATTCAATGAAAACAAAAAAGGTTTTAAGACACAAAGGGAGACTATCATGTTTGTTTTTCACCTCCTATCTCACTTAAAACAAAAATTTTATTCTCTCTCCCAGGTAGCAGAAAAGGTCTACTACTGTTAGGAAATCTGGGTATGGAATAGCCAAACTGAGATTAGATGACTGTTCTGTTAAAACACGGATCTCCAGACTGGGGATTCTGCAAGAGGGAAACATTTTCATCTCTGTTACAGAAAAGTCATTGTTGGGTGCTGACTATATATTTGGAAGAAAAGAAAAAGGTAATCAAAGAACCAAATTCTTGTTTACCACAACAATGTGCTATTAAACTCTATGTACTAAATACATTATAACATCAACCATATTATCTAACAATTAAATGAAGTGAACCAAAATGAAAAAATATTCTTAAACACCAGGCTCAATGTAAAATAATATAACACAGACAGAAACAGAACAACTCTTGAGACTTTTTGTTTGTTTTTAAGATATTAGCAGGATAACATTTATATAAAGATTCTATCTTCAGTATGTCTAAAGCCATGGCCATCACACCACTTTTCTTCCAGCTGTTTTTCTTACTTGGAGGTAAATTATACAGTAGTATCCAACTTTACTGAATATGTTACTGAAATCATCAATTTAAAGTTCTGTGTGAGATATAACTTCTTTATGAGAATGTGATTGTAGCGTTAATGAGTGCTAACTTAGCAAGAGACTAACACTGCTTTTGAGGAATTGTCTTGGACATCAAAATCAACAACTGAATATGACATACCCACTCTCTCTCACTGTTTCCCCACAAAGAAATTGGTACTTGTTTAGCTTTGTTTGACTACTGGTAAGTCCTACTTAATATCTTCTCTTGAGAAAAGTTAGAAGACAAAGGACCTGCCAAGTTCTCTTCCAGGGTGCTGTGGAAGAAAGCTTGTTGAAAATGAAAATGGGAGATGCACTCATGTTATTATTGCTTCTTAAGGAGAGTTGATCACCCCAGAAGATAGAGAGGGGGTTATTTTCCTATTCTTTGGAGAAACATTCGAATCCTGGAACAATGGAGATTCACTTTTCTTTGACTTTCTTACTATTTCACAACTATATCCCACTGAACAGTTTTTATCCAGGTACATTAGAATAATTCAGTGACTTCCATTATCACACTACTCTACTCTCTCACTATAAATTTGAATCACTATGAAAGAAAGGAAGAGTAAAATATAAAAAATGAAAATCTTAGTTTAGTTATGGGCTGGGCCCTCCCTTCAAGTTACAAGGTCCATTTCTTTAAACAGGAAAATAGTTTGTAAAAGGAAGAAATATATTTAGGTTATCCTTCTTTGATTTTGTGTATGTAAGCATGGAACAAAATGAAAAACCATTCTTTTGAAACCAATGAGAATGAGACATGATTGCAATGAGTAGGATATACTGACAGATTAGTATACTGCCATAGAGGATGGATCTTTTGGAAGGTCATACATATCTTAGGGTCATCGTCATCACCATCATCATCATCATCATCATCATCATCCTATCAATAATTCAGATAAATATCTTGCTTTACTTTCTCTCACATCCATCCTGTGAGGGAGGAAATGCAGCCTGGCATTATCCTCAGTTTAAGGAAGAAGAATCTGAGGTTCAAAAAACTTAAGTAGACCACCACTCTTAAATTGCAGCGGAGACAACTAGAAAAGCTGAATAAAATATAGCATCAGAGTCAAGTCACTGGTGAGCTGAAGAGGCCACTAAGGCCTGAGGACACACAATTCCTGGCAAGGAATAACAAAGAAGTGAGGCAACATTCTGCCACAGTTTTTTCCTTTAAGCACCTGAATTCTGGCTGAGGGTGAGGGCAGTTACTAGCAGCAGAACAACCAGCAGTAGAGCTCATGGCATTCTCGAAAGGCTACAGACACAAAAATTGAGAGGCTACGAATCTGCTGTAAAGGAAGAGGTGGAGAACTGGACTCTGCTGATTTTCTCCTCAAGCCCTTTGCCAAATTCTGAAGAGAACTTCAGGAAACTAGGAGGCAAGCAGAAGCATATACCTCTGTAAAGCAGAGTGGATTTTTCAGCAGTTTCTTGGTACTGAGAAAACAGGGAGGGATTAAGTTCTGACCTGAGACAGGAGAAGGGCCCTGGTGAATATGTCAGACTTTCTTTTATAAATTTCTGAAAACAATTTATTATTATGAAGTGATTCTCTTTCATGTTAATAATGGATTTTTTCCTTAATGTCTACTTTCTTTCACATTAATATAGCTAACTCTAACTTTCTTTTGGTTAGTTAGCATGGTATTATCTCTTTCCATCTTTCGATATTCAAACTTTCTGTGTCCTTATGTTTCAGATGTGTCTCTTATGAACAGCTCATAGTTAAGTTTTGTTATTTCATTCAAGCTTTTAATTGGAGTATTTAGCCACCTATATTTAATGTAATTTCTCAGGTTTAAATCTATCGCCTTACTAAATGCTCTCTTTTTGTCCTGTATATTCTTAATATTCTCTTTTCTCCCCATTTTTGTTTTCTTTTGCATTTTAAAATTATTTGACATAATTAGCTCGGTATGTGTATCATTACAATTCTTTTGGTGGGTATCTTAGAGATTGTAACATGCATTTTTGACTTATTAATATCTAACATACTCTTTATCCTTTACCATATAATACAAAGATGTTAGAACACTTGAACTCCAGCTGTCCCCCTTCAGGATTTATATGCCATTGGTGTCATGTTTTAAAATTCTATCTTTCTTTAAACCCCACAGGATTTGTTTTTATTGTTTCCAACAGCAAATATTCATTTTAATATATTCACATATCTATCTCTCATTGCTGTATAGTCCTTCTTGCATCTCCAGTCTTCCAACGGGGATCATTCTTTGGCCTGAAGAACAATACCCTTTAATAATTTCTTCAGTGCAGGTCTTCTGGGGATACATTTCCTCCATTTTTGTCTGTCTAAAAATATTTTTCTTTTACTCTTTAATGATATCTTTACCGGGTATAGAATTCCATCAAGATTGACAGCCATTTTCTCTCAGCAATTTAAAGATGATATTCTACTGTCTTTTGGCTTCTTTTGGTTCTGGGAAAAGTCAGATATCAGTCTAAATCTTACTCCTCTGAAATCAATCTGTCTTTATTCTCTGGCTGCTGTTAACATTTCTTAATTATCTTTGGTTTTTAGCAGTTAACTTTGGATTTCTATTTATTGTGTTTCAGTTCTTTGGGCTTCTTAAATCTTTGGCTAATTTTCTTTCATCATTTTTGGAAAGTTTGTAGCTATTGCTTTTGGCTTATTCTCTCATCTCCTAGGATTCCAATTATAGAAATCTTATTCCTTCTCAATGTATCTCCTATTTCTCTTAGTCCTGCTTCTGTATCTTCCATGCTTTTTTCTTTTCATACTTCGTTCTGGATATTTTCTTTTGGCCTATTTTCCAGTGCAGTAATTCACTTTTCAACTGTGTCTAATCTACTGTAAAACCGATCCATTAAGTTCTTAATTTTAATTTTTTAATATTTCAATTTTAGAATTTCCATTATTTTTGTAGTTTTTATGTCTCTACCAAATTTCTCATTCCTTTCTTTTCTGTACTTGACCACAGTAAACTTGGTTTTTTCTGCTAGTGTAGTCTCGTATCCTTGTGGGCTGGCTATTTTTCATTAGTGCTGAACCTTATATTAATTGTTTTTAGAAATAATTTGAGTCCTAGAATGATATCTTCCTCAAAAGAGAATATTCATTGGTTTCTATCAGGTGCCTTGGGGCACTACCAATCTAGAATCTTCTCAATCCACTTTTAGGGATTCAGCCAATTTAAAGTTGAGCTTCAGTCTCTGTGAATACCTACTTCCAATTCATCCTTACTCTCAGGTAAACTCCTTTGGGGTCTCAACACAGATTAAGAGAGTCCAGCAGGCCCACTCCTCCTTGGGCAGGCCCTACCCTCCACTTTCTATCCCTGTAGGATCATGAAGCTACTGAAAGTTCCACTCACTTTCTTTGGTGCCCTCTCTTGAATTAGCAAACATGCAGGGGGAAAAGCAGCCCCCAAAGTCAGGATCACTCTACTTAGCCTCCTTAGCATCTTGTCCAGGTAATTTTGCTCTACCTTTATCTTATGACTCCAAGCAGACTTAAAAAAAAAAAATTTGTCTAACATTTGTAGTGGGCTCCAGTAGACAGGCAGGTCTTAATTACTTAGGTTGCCATATCTAGATGTTTCCCAAGTAAAATCAATAAATGTCATGGGAAGATTTTCTTCTTTTAAAGGAAAGAATTCTAGTATGTAAGGTCATTACTGTCCAGTATCAGGTAAACCTTTGTAAGTATCTTCCCCCTTACCTGCTATTGTTTCAATACTTGGAATTGCAATAGTGCTGTAAGTACTGATTCTCTTACAAGTCCATGTGTAAACCAAGGAGTCTTCTGTATTTTCCAGTCCGGAAATTGAATCAATTAAAAAAGAGCCCCATTTCTTAGATAATGTATTTAGAGGCTTTGCCTTTGGTCCCTGAAACAAGAGAATAGAATGATGAAAACTTTATTAATTATTGTTCAATCTCATTCTAAGTTTTTTCCCCCACTAAGTAAATCAAAATAGAAAAACTCTGTAGGAATTTCAGTTGTTTTACCTTTAACCAGACATTTTACTACATAAAAGTAAAATAAAGCTTAGCAGTCCTTTAAACTATCCTCTCTGGCTTTGTTTGGGAACGCCTTTTCAACCTTTGGGATCTGGCCTGGATGCCATCCAGGGTTTTCCTCCCACAGTCAGGTTGGATTAGGTCTTCTCCTCCATTTTCCCACATGCTGAGTTTATCCCTAATATACTACACTTCTCACACTATCTTGCAATAATCATACTGTTTACTTTCACCCTTGTCAGATGATGAACTACATAAGGTTAGGAACTTTCTTACATATTACTGTATCTCTAAAGCTTAGTGCCTAGGACAGAGCAGGCACATAAAAGTTGCAGACTAAATAAAAGACTCATTTAAAAGTACTTCTTGGTGTTTTATGGATATAGCATAAAATTAAGAATTGAAAAAAACCCTATCACATCCATATAATCTGGATTATAAAATCGGTCATCCTTTTCCGATGAAAATTTCATTTGGAACAGCACAGAATGCCAAATATGCCTCTAGATTCATGATTCTTTGTGTTGGAACTCATTATATGAAGCAAGATGAGAATATATGTTCTCAGATGATGGTGTCTGGAAATCACTCAGCAAGAACCTACTTGGATTTCACCAAAGATATTTAAGAGCAGTAAGGAATATGAATATCTATGCTTCTGTGTGTACATTTCAGGTGTACTTAAATATCATTTCTCTAAGTTTAAAGAGCAATTTGTAGGGTAAATTTATTTAGTTCATTATCTTTTCCAAAATAATGAGTCTGAGAAGAAATGACTCACATCACACATACTATATGTAGATAATGGTTCTACAAACATTGAATGGTAGAATCTAGGCTGCTCCCTCTTCCCATGAAAAGAGGAAAATAGACCTATCCGCCCTTTCTGGTTCAATGTAATATGGTTGCTGCTATGGTCGAAGTGTTTGTGTCCCCCCAAAATTCATATGTTGAAATCCTAACTCTCAAGGTGATAGTATTAGGAAGTGGAGCCTTTGGGAGGTGCTTCGGTCATGAGGGTGGAGCCCTCATGAGTGGGATTAGTGCCCTTATAAAAGAGACCCCAGAGAGCCAGCATCCCCCATCTGTGGGTACAGGGAGAAAATGGTGGTCTATGAGGAAGCGGGTCCTCACCAGACACTAAATTGGCCGGCACCATGATCTTGGATTTACCAGCCTCCAGAACTGTGAGAAATAAATGTTTGTTGTTTAAAGCCACCCTGTATATGGTATTTTTGTTATAGCAGCCCAAATGGACTAAGACAGATGCCAATCTTTGTTCATTCTGATATTGAGAATTTTAATGATTCATTTTCTCAAATATAAAATATATATATATATATGTACACACACACACACACACACACACATATATCAGTAATCAAAAGAATCATGCCATTTCTTGAATACATCAAGCAGCACTCACATTTTGGTTAGGGCTCTATATCTCATAGATATGATCCTTTAATCGTAAGTATTCTCACCAAGTTTCTATCCTCTCTTCTACTCTTTCTCTCTTATCTCTCTACCTCAGATATCTATGCCCCAATTTTCCTCGGTAGTCCTAACCTATCTCCCAAATCCCAGTTTGATCTCATCCTCCAAATATTTCAAAGAAATAGGATTCAACATTAATTCAATCATATCTCTCTCCTCACAAAACCAACTCATTCTCTTGACTGTCATATTTATATGACTAAAAACCATCATTTCCAGTTTCCAGTTGAAAACCAGCTATGTTTTGAGTCCCAACCCCCACCACCAGCACTAGGCTTATCAGCTGTGCCTCCAGCACATCTGCCTACATATTTCATTTCTTTCTCACTCTGTCCACTTGTTCATGTTTGTATTACCTCTAGTACAGGCTGCTGAAACAGCCTCCCGCAGCATCTCTTCCCATCAATCCTGAAATGATCTGGTTAATTTGGTTGGTAATTATACTTTTAAAAGTTCACTTAAGCTGAATAAAGTAACTAGAAATATGGAATTAAATCCTTTTGCATTTTTTTGTGTGTGTGTGAGGAAGATCAGCCCTGCGCTAACATCCATGCCAATCCTCCTCTTTTTGCTGAGGGAGACCGGCCCTGAGCTAACATCTACTGCCAATCCTCCTCCTTTTTTTTCCCTTTTTCTTCCCAAGGCCCCAGTAGATAGTTGTATGTCATAGTTGCACATCCTTCTAGTTGCTGTATGTGGGATGCCGCCTCAGCATGGCCGGAGAAGCAGTGCGTCGGTGCGCGCCCAGCATCTGAACCCAGGCCACCAGCAGCAGAGCGTGTGCACCTAACCGCTAAGCCATGGGGCCGGCCCCCCTTTTGCATTTTTGTACTTACTCACCAAAAGACTGCACATCATATATGTTCTGTATATACATGTTATGCTTGACATGTGGTTGGAAAAACTAAACAACATTTTTCTTAAAAATCACAAAATAAACAGAAGAACCCTCACATGGTGCTTTCTGTTTTGCTCTCTTTATGGACTGTTTCCCTCCTGCTGTAGCAACTGAGGATGTTTGTGTTCTTGTTTCCTCCACAGGGAAGCAAGAAAGAATCTGAATTCTCACGACATGACAGCAGCAGTGTGCTGTGCAGAGGAATGGACCCGACCTTAAAGATGAAAACAGTCTGACTTTCAGAAGTTGTGGTTCTAGGTTTGTGTTAGAAGATAATGTCTGAAAAAAATACACAATTGTTTCATCTGCCTTTAAATACAAGCAGAAATATGCATGATAGAGGATTTTCCATAAAGCAGATACAACAATTAAGTTGTCTTGAAACATCTGCTACGGATGGGCCCATCAATACAAACACAGCCTCAAAAACAAACTACAGAAGCATGACGGCATTCATCTGACCACGATAATTTTGGAGTCAAGTAGTATGAGGATACTCGGGCTTTTTCAACAGAATCTTTTGGGCCACGGCTGGGAATCCTGCCGCAAAACACTTGCCCCAGACCCCAACAGCCCAGGGGAATCCATCCTCCACAACTCAACTTTTCCTGGACCCTCAATAGTATGAGAGATGGACTTAGAGTTTAGGGCTAAAGTTGGAACCTTCTGAGGCCTTTATTCTAACCCTGTCACTTGGCCAAACACTCCCGTTCCTTGCTTCCTGGTCCATATTCAGTGGAGCAGGGGTGAGGAGGGGAGGTGGAGTTCAATGGGAAAGGAACATTATTTATTTCAATTTTATTTTAGGAAATAAAATCTTAAAGCTGTTGATTCACCATTTCCTAAGAGCCAATTATTAACTCTGTTCATGATGTATTTGTAATTAATTAACAAGAGAAAAGGGGTCTGTGGGAGAAGGATGGGGCTGCTGTTTAAGTAATGATGCAGGAAACTTGCCCACTGATTCTTCGTTTTCTTATCACTGTACCTGCATTCTCAAATCATTTTAAAAAAACGAATCTTCGTGAAAACCTTCTCCAAGGTCACTCAAGTTAGAAGGCCCACCTTCTGGAAGGTTGTTTTAAAACTCTTCTTAACTCAAATAGTCCAAAGAACTTTAATGTCACATTAAGACTAAATGCTACTCAATGGAAACTTCATAGAAAACTGACTCTTTTGTTGTGTCTGCTTATAGTTATTTTTTTTTAAATAGACTATTTTTTAGAACAGTTTTAGGTTTATAGATAAATAGAGCAGACAGTACAGAGAGTTCTCATATATACGTCCCCCTCCTGACCCGCCCCCAATACTGTCTCTCTTATTATTAACATCTTGCATTAATTAGCATACTACATTTGTTACAACTGATTAACTGATATTGATACATTATTATTAATGAAAGTCCGTAGTTTACATTAAGGTTCACTCTTTATGTTGTACAGTTCTATGGGTTTTGACAAATGCAAAATGTCATGTATCCACCATTACAGTATCATACAGAATAGTTTTACCACCATAAAAAGCCCCCATGCTCCATTTATTCATCCCCCTCCCCCTGAGCCCCTGGAATCCACTGGTCTTTTACTATCTCTGTAGCTTTGCCTTTTCCAGAATGTCATATAATTGGAATCACACAGTATGTAGCATTTTCAGATTGGCTTCTTTCACTTAGTAATATGCACTTAAGGTTACTCCATGTCTTTTTGTGGCTTGATAGCTCATTTCTTTTTATCGTTATTTTTTGATTTGATATTTGTTTTTTGACTTGAGTTTTCCATTCTTTATAGATTGTTCCACTAGAATGAATTTAGAAAAATGCATTTTATTTTCTGATCTTTTTTCTTTTATGCTTCTTTTTGCATTTATACACTATTTTCCCTTATAGGTTTATGATGTATTTTACCTTTCTCTCTCAAGTCTTCACCTAAGTTCATTCTGGGCAGCTCAGGAGTAAGTCTAAATAAAGGAGCTACCAATTTAGGTAAGGTAGACCCATGAAGAGAGAGTACAAGGGCTTTCATGGCCAAGCAAAAGAGACAGAGTACGACTGTGGTGAGTCAGGATCTGGCCACCTAAGCATCAGCCGAAAACATCCATGGTGCCAGAGCAAATGGAAGAAAGCAGAAGGCAGAGAAGACACACACATGGTCAAGAGTGTTATCTTGGCACTGTTTAAAAATTATCAACAAGATCAACTGTAGAGCTGCTATGGCATAAGGATCACAATGAGTGCCAACAGCATCACTCTTGGCACAAACAAGCACTTTCTAAGATATGTCAAACATAAAAGGTTTTTCTTTCAAGGAAAGAGCTGAAGGGAACCTTACCTCATATTTTCCTTTCTTCTCTAGAGGCTCTGATTCGTCAGGCTTCCCATCTCTGTCAGCTCTGAGCTCTTCCAGGATGAGGACTGTCTCCCAGTTACTATAATGTCGGGCTGGGAAAATATCTGAATGCATGCTGTCACCAAAATAAACCACCTGTAAGTCAGACAACCAATTGTTTGAGACATGAGAATTGTGAGAGAGAGTGGTGTTCATTTTACGGAAAGCAGAAGAAAACTCCTCAAGAGGTATCAGAGTGAGACAAATAAAAGTTGCATAAACATCTTAAACTTCCTTGAATAACGTCACAGGTGATCACTGACTAGCCCCATTTGATTCACAGGGCACCAGGTTTGTTTTAAGAAGTTATACAACACATTTGCGGCTCGAAGGCAGAAGGTAAGCGATTTCATTCCATTTTCTGAAGAAGTGAACGACTCCTTCAGACTGTTATCAGGATATCATTCCTCAGGTATCTCACACACTGATTTGGTGTATTCCCTAGATCTGTGGCCTCCTGCTTGGAATCTTTGCTCTTCTCTGTTACAGATAAAGACTCAGCCTACATCAACAAAGACAAGATTTATTTAAGCAGAAGAGGTAAGAGAAGAGATTGGTAGACAGGCAGAGGCAGAGGATCCTCTCATAGATAACTAAGCTGAATGTATTTAGAACCAGGGTTTCAGTTTACAATGGTTTATGTCTGCCAGTTGGCATCTGCCTCAATCAGAAAATACCTTGGGTTCAGGTTTGCCAGTCATTTTCTTCAGAAGTTCATTAAGGTGGACAGCGTTCCCTTGGGAGTACCAGCCAGGCTTATCCAGAGATGGCAGTGCCTCCTGCTCCTCGTCATTCTCTGAAAATACAGTTTGACAATCACATACTTTTTAACCAAGCGAGAGCACCCAGGTGGGCAGACCACACTCAGGTATGCTGCAGGACATGTACAAGAAGGAAGCACGTGGGGACGGGACCTAGCATTCAGTGAGCACCTATGTATTACCAGCACTTCATGGAGAAATATATATATATATATAAATATATATTTATATATATATATATATTTTTTTTTTAAGAACTTATTTTTTTAGAGCAGTTTTAGGTTCACAGCAAAAGTGAGAGGAAGATACAGAGATTTCTCATATACCCCCTGCCTCCACACAGGCACAGTCTCCCCCATTATTATGATAATGATGTGCCAGTGTAGGCTCATCAATTGTATCAAAGATACTACGCTGGTTGAGGATGTTGATAATGAAGAGGTATATATTGTTTAATCCTCACAATAACCCTCTTAATTGGGGAAAATAAGACTCAGGGAAGTTATTTTGCCCAAGGTCTCAAATCTGGTAAGTGATTTATTTAGTGATTAGATAGAAGTCTGCTTGACATCATGCCCCTGCTTTGCAAAATGGTTCATTAAACAAACCGCATAATGGAAGCCAATAGGTCCTATCTTTTTGGAATTGAGGGTAGAGGAGATCGATTTTTATCAGTAGTCTACTAAACCCAGGCTGTGTAGCATATGTTTTATATATTTTACTCTATATAACCCTCACAATCTGATTTAGGGTCCATAGCTACAGCTGCTGCTATTGATTGTTACTGTTTTGTTCTTCTGCTCTACCCTCATTTTCCTGCCCTGCTCAGTTTCTGACTAATGAGGAAACTGAAGCTCAGAGAGCTTTACATAGCTTGCTTAAGTTCCACTAGCGATTAGGGGGCATTGGCACGACCCTGAGAGTGAGCACCACCCCATAAATTTTGCACCCTAGGTGTCACAATTGCTTTATCCTAGTCCTGGCCCTAGAGGGTAGTAAAAGGAGTTTCTGATGCCAAAGCCGATGTTGTGGGCTATTCCAAGCTGTCCTCCCCCAGCACAGTGCTCGCCCGCCCCTGGTAAAGCAGGGCCAGTGAAAGGAGGTAAACTGTCTCTGTCACTCTGCATCTTTCCAGCTGGTATGTGCCTTGTAGACATATATGCCCACCAGCAAGATGAAAAGGAATATTAAGTAAGGTTTTGTGAAAAAGATAATATACTAGCAGAAGCACTGGTTTAGGTACAGCTTTGGAAACTGTACGGAAAAAAAAAAACCACTTCTCTTTTTTTCCCCACATTAATCTCTTGATTTGAGATTCCAACAAGGTTGTTATTGTTGTTTGGTTCTCTCTGCTATGCCTCTAAGAAGGATCCTAATGAGATTTAGTCATATGTTGTAAGCAGAGGTGGATCCAGGTTTTGTAGGGCTAGAAGCTTACATAATTGAAGGACCTTCTATAGGAGAATGAATATACAATTAACAATTGCCATTGTCCTTGCCAGGATGTGGAAGGGACAAATGAGGGGTCCTGAAGCTTACACTTCACTAGCTTCACAGTAAGTCAATCCTGGAGTAGGACAGGGAGGAAACAAAGGGCCTAGAAAGTTGGGTAAATCAATCATTAAAAATACATCTCTATGGCTGGCTCCGTGGCTTAGCGGTTAAGTGCGCGCGCTCCGCGACTGGTGGCCCGGGTTTGGATCCCGGGCGCGCACCGACGCACCGCTTGTCCGGCCATGCTGAGGCCGCGTCCCACATACAGCAACTAGAAAGATGTGCAACTATGACATACAACTATCTATTGGGGCTTCAGGGGAAAAAAAAAAAAGGAGGAGGATTGGCAATAGATGTTAGCTCAGAGCCAGTCTTCCTCAGCAAAAAGAGGAGGATTAGCATGGATGTTAGCTCAGGGCTGATCTTCCTCACAAAAAAAAAAAATCTCTACACGCACACCCATGTTTATTGCAGCATTATTCACAATAGCCAAGATACAGAAACAACCTAAATGCCCATCAATGGATGAATAAAGAAGATGTGCGTAAATATATATACACACACAATGGAATATTATTTAGCCATGAGAAAGGAACACATCTTGTACTTGTGACAACTTGAGCACATTATGCTAAGTGAGATAAGTCAGACAGAGAAAGACAAGTACTGTATGGTGTCACTGATATGTGGAATCTAAAAAAGCCAAACTCGTAAAAACAGTAAAATGGTAGTTACCAGGGGATAGGGGGATGGAAGGATAAGATGATGTTGTTTAAGGGTACAAACTCACAATAAGTAGTAAAGAAGCCCTGGAAATCTAATGCACAGGATAACGAATGTAGACAACAACAGTGTACTACAGTCATCATACGTGCTATGAGGCTAAAATTTAATCCTTCCAACAAAGAAAGGATAATTATGTAATGTGAGGGAGGTGCTAAATATGGCTACAATGGCAATCATATTACAATATATAAATGTATCAAATTAACATGTTGTACACCTTAAATTTACACAATGTTGTATGTCAAATATATTCAATAAAAAAATAAATATATGGCACTATTAGTATATTTAACTAAAACCTAATTTCTCCTAAAGAAACTATCTGTAAAAGTTACAGGCAACCACCCAAACCTCTGCTCAGTTTGTAACATAAACTACCTTAAATACAGCACTGGAGAATTTAAGATTTACAAATTAAATGTTGGTCACTGTAACTAAAATGAAATGTAATTTATTAATCCTAATAATAACAAGACAAAAATGAATCCAACACATCACGATAATATGAGGTGACTTTCTGCATAACCTCAGATAACTTGAACAAGGAATTCTAAAAACAGACTTACAGATAATTAAAGCCACATCATAGCAACTGGCAGATTATTGTCAAGAAATATTTATGCCTATTTTGCTGCCATTCCAGCAGCTACTTTTTAATTCTTCTGCATTATCTGACTGTACAGAAAAAAAATAGGTAATAAAGTCTCCAAAAAATAGGTCAACCAACCACGTATTAGCCTAACGTTAAAAGCCTCTAGGAAGATTCCGCACCTTCCTGGAGAAATACAGTGAAAAGTGATTACTTCTTATGTCTGTCTGTCTGTGGGTCTTTATTTATTTAGTACAGAATGTCTTGCTATGTAAATAACGTGGGTTGTACGGCAAATGGAAAATGAATGACTTACAGAAATATTTTTGAAGCAGATTTACATTTGATATGCAGATGCCCACTGTGCAAGAACATACTTGTTCTGACGACCTGCAGACTGCCCCAAAAGGCACTGAAGGAAGTTAGGAAGCAACTAAGGGCTGGATAAAGAACTGGAGGGGCCATCGATTGAAGTCAAAAGTAAATCAAACAAAAATTCTTTTGAAAACTGTAATTTGCTTGTGGATACAGCTGTTTTCACAATAACAAAGGAAATCTTTTTTATTTTCTTACTGTAAGAGCACGTGGATCAGAAAAGTAAAAAAAAAACAAAACAGTAAAATTTTAGTCAGTATGACAGTGACAACACTATATGGGGAAGTGGTCCAGTCAAGGCTACGGCTGACAGCCTTGAACAAAGATAAGAGAAACTTGCCACAGGAGCAGACCTTGCGAGAAGAGTTTTGTGCGTCTGTGTCTGACTGCCGACCTCAGCCCCGAGCTGCCTGAATTCGCTCACGTGGCAGCTCACAGCTGCCTCTCCCAACTCCCAAAGCGTCTGGTGTTACTATCTTATCATCAGTGTTTTAAAACCTGTATCTATGTGATTTTTTTTGAATCAGTAATACATCACATATTTTTAAAAGTCTCATTTTTGAACTCTCTCTGCTATGTGCTCACCTCTTCTACAAAGGGTAACCACTCTTTTACACATATAAAAGCAAATATATATTCTTTTCCTCCACTTCAAAAAATACATTTATTGAGGTATAATTGACATACAATAAACTGCATATATTTAAAGCATCCAGGGGCTGGCCCCGTGGCTTAGCGGTTAAGTGTGCGCTCCGCTACTGGCGGCCTGGGTTCGGATCCCAGGCGCGCACCTATGCACCGCTGCTCCGGCCATGCCGAGGCCGCGTCCCACATACAGCAACTAGAAGGATGTGCAATTATGACATACAACTATCTACTGGGGCTTTGGGGGAAAATAAATAAAATAAAATAAAGCATCCAATTTGATGAGTTTTGGCATATGTATATACCTGTTATGGAATGAATTGTGTTCCCCTCAAATTCACATGTTGAAGCCTTAACATGTACCTCAGAATGTGACTATATTTGGAGACAGGGCCTTTAATGAGGTGATTAATTTAAAATGGGGTTCTTACCGTGGGTCGTAATCCAGTATGACTGGTGTCCTCATAAGAAGAGGAGATTAGGACACAGGTGATTAGGGACTTAGGACACAGAGGAAAGACCATGTGAAGAGACAGGGAGGAGACAGCCATCTACAAGCCAAGAGAGGCCTCAGTAGAAACCAATCCTGCTGACATCTTGGTCTCAGACTTCCAGCCTCCAGAACTGTGAGAAAATATATTTCTGTTGTTTAAGTCACCCAGTCTGTTGTATTTTGTTACGGCAGCCCTGGCAAACTAATATAATACCTATGACCCCCCCTCTCTTTTAAATGCAAATATTAGCATACTCTGCACACTGTTCTGCAACTTGTTGCGTTTTTTTTAAACTTTATTTTACAGATAACACATTGTGATCTGCCTAATTTTTTTCATAGATGCATGTTCCATGATTTACTTAATAGTCCTCTATTGACAGACATGTGGAATACTGCCAATCTTTTATTGTTACATGGAAAGAGTTACAAACATGAGAGAATCTGCACAGCCTAGTGGGATTAAACAGAATCTGAGCTGGAAACACAACTCATTTTCTTTCTTTTCTTCCTTCACTCTTGACTTCTATAATATTTCACAGACCGTTTTAGGTACGAGGGATATAGCAGTGAACTAGGTGCCCCAAGTCCCTGCCCAAAGGACACTTAGATTCCAGTAGCAATCTCTGACTTGTCAGAGGTTTACTAAACAA